TTCTAGTTGCTATATGTGGGACGCGGCCTCAGCATGGCCGGAGAAGTGGTGCCTCGGTGCGCGCCCAGGATCCGAACCCGGGCCGCCATTAGTGGAGCGCACGCACTTAACCACTAAGCCACCGGGCCAGCCCTAGGCTTTTTTTTAAATACCAAATGGCAGTATTATGTTTTAATAATGCTTTGACCAAATGTTTTAACTTATTTTCTTCCAGCGGATGTTTGCTGTTTGGAAGATGGGATATTTACAAAATGCCGTTAGAGAATCAGTCTCCTGCCCTGTTTGCCCCATTAACACACCTGGACCATGGAGTAGAGCATGAGATGACGGGCAAGCACCTGTTAACTGTGACCCATTCTGGGGAGGAGAGGCTAGGGTGAATTTCCAGTAGCCACTGTCACCTTCCTTTCACTACCTACCATACATAGCTTACAAGAAATATTAGTACCAGTTTAGCACCCCACCTCTGAAGCTCCCAAGTTCAACTCTAGGTCAAGTCAAATGTATGACAGATTTTAGGATGATGACGACTCCCATGTTTGTAGCTAAGAATTTTAAGCCCAGCAGGGAACACACATCAAGCACACACTTGGTGTTTAACACAAGACAGATTTTTCTAAAACAAGTGAATAATAAATATATAAGCATGAAAATACATAGACATAGAACAATTCTTTACAAATTATAAAAGGAAAGATATAGACAGTCCTGGTTTATTGGTACAATTTGGCAGTCAAAACAGTTCCTGAATGTTAGACAGCAGTTCCTCTTTCCAAGTTTTGTTTAATTTCAGCTGTATATTTCCCATAGAATCTTTCTGCCTTCTTGTTGAATTTGGCATTCCTTTCATTAATGTAGTCAATGTCTGCATCATCATTATAAGGACGTCTCCGGCTATATTTGTCTCGTTTTTCAATTCTGTAATGGAAACAAACAATTAAAAGCTGCTTTATTTTTTGATCTTAACAGTTAAGACTGAAAGCACTATCTTTAGAAAAGCATTCAAGACTGAAAGCAGTATCTTTAGAAAAGGATTCTACAAAGAAATAGTTTCAGTGAGCTTCCTTGAATTTAATTTTGTAAGTTAACAGTACCATCAGATGATATTTGGGACAGAACCCAGGTTCACGTTGAAATATAAGGGCAGTGATACATTACACTACTTGGAGAGAATTTTTATATTACTCTATTGATTCTGTGTAATAATGACCCCATTCAGAACACAAATATAAAGGTGGTGAATGGGACCATTCTTCAAACTAATAATTCAAGTGTTCCTTAATTTTTATCCAGGTGCTATACTTCAAGACTATAAAGGTAATTTTGTCATTAAGTGTGAAATTAGTACTAAATCTTTAGGTTGCATTTGGGGTACTTACTGCTTTTCCAAGTCTATGACCATCCTATCAATTTCCTCTGTGGAAGGCACATGTGTTCCATGAAGAAGACTATTTGATGTTGGGTAGAACTCCTCTCCACTGAGAAAAAGCAAGGTAATGAGTAACACTATAAAGATCCTATACTTTCAGAACTGGACAATTAGTGGTCAACAATAGCAACCTTTGGGATCATATTTGATTTCAAAGAAACAGAATTCAGACTTGAAAAAGGCTATTTAAGAAATCATCTGCTCTAGTGCCCAAATGAGTTGGCTGAGGACCAGAGGTCAATGGACTTATCCAACAAAGTTCATACAGTGGGAGAGATGGAATGAGAACACACTGTTCTGCACAATTTATAGCTCTCTCCACTTGACTACACTGTTGTTATTAAAACAGAGTTTACCTCAAGCACACTATCTGCCTTACATAATTAGAGAAAGAAAGAGTGCAGCTTAGCGGTGCTTACTGCACATCATGAAAGTAGGTATCCTCTACAAGTAAGGGACACAGTTATAGCAATGCTAGTAATCATGATGATGATAATAGCTGACACACATACAGTGCTTACTGTGTGCCAAGCATTAAGTGCATTGTATGAATTCATTTAACCTTTACAATAACCCTTTGAGGTAAGCACCCATTATTATTCCCTGTTTACAGATGAGGAAACTGAGGAAGAAAAATTGTGCGACACAGCTAGTAAGTGGTGGAGCCAGGACCCAAGGCCAGGAAGCCAAGTTCCAGAATCAGGACTCTTAAATACAAGTCCTTCCAGTAACATACAAAGAGTACATTATTAAATCACTTATAGACTTAACTGTTTTTCTCTCTGTGTTTCATATGTTTCCATGTCAGGTTTGATCTGCTTGGTCAACCGATGATATTGACGTAACTGGGCAGCAGCATAATCTAAAAAAAATGAGAACCACAGACTATTTTGATGTTGGGGCATTATTAAACTTGTTATTAAATGGGCCATTAACAGGACCCTTCAATAAAGTAAAAGCCAGTTTTACCTGAAAATCCCAGATCGGGGTTTTTCCTCCTCTTTTTCCTCTCCCACCTTTCTGCATCTTCTGTGCTGATCTCAAGCAACTTCACTTTCTCATAGTCTTCTCCTCTTGCTGCACATTCCTAAAAAGAGGGAAAAAACATTAGCTCTATTACCTTATATAATTTCTTGATTCCTAGGGCCGGCCCCAGCCTTAGCGGTTAAGTGTGCGTGCTCTGCTACTGGCAGCCCGGGTTTGGATTGTGGGTGTGCAC